AAAACCTCTTTGAACATTTGGAGTTCAAAGAGGGGAACTCATTCTCCCAACTTGGATTTTGAGAGCATGAAGATGGATTTGGAAGCTCTCCTACAATCTTGACTTGTAGGAAAGAGAAAGGGAAATGCAACTTAGAGGTTGCAAATCATGAATGCCCTTGAACATTTTGTATTCAAAGAGAAGTAACCATTCACTTATTTTTATATTAAATGAATGGGAAAGTTTCTTTGAATATCCGATGTCCAAAGAAAGAGATAAACATTCACTTAATTCAAATTAAGTGAATGGTGGAGTATTCCTAAGAGTCAAATCCCAGAGGCTTTGCTTATATTCTTTTGAGCCTTTCTAGAGATCGTTTGAGAATCTCTACATAGGCTTTAAAGACCATTAGCAAAGAAGGCATTTGTTGCCTTATGCTCCAACAAAGAAAATGAAGGAATTCAGACCGCAACTCTGAATTTGTTTGTAACTTTTTAGGCCCCTCTAGAGGTCATTTGGGCACCTCTATATGGGCTTTGAAGGTTACTAACAAAGGAAACATTGTTGGTTTTGTGTTTCCAACAAATGTAGAGAGAAAACTTAGATTTTGGTTCTAAGTTTTGCATGTATCCTTTTAGGCCCCTCTAGAGGTCATTTGGGCACCTCTATATGGGCTTTGAAGGCTACTAGCAAAAGAAAAATTGTTGGTTTTGGGCCAACAAATGTAGAGAGAAAACTTAGACTTTGGCTCTAAGTTTTGCAAAGATCCCTTTGAACATAAAGATGTTCAAAGAGCTCGAAGGGAGGTATGCATTCTTCTAGCTTGGAGTCTTGGAAGAATAAGCAGGTCTCCTACAATTTGGATTTGTGAAATGTGAGAGAGAGGTAATGCAATCTAGATATTGCAAGATTGAAAGAGATCATTTGAACTTTTGGTGTTCAAATAAATTTCTCCATTCACTTAATTCAAGTTAAGTGAAAGGATAAGGTAGACTAGGATTTAGATCCCAAGTCCAAATGAGATATTCATTTGTTAGCTTCATGTTTAAACAAACGAAAAGGAAGAACTTAGAAATTGGTTCTAAGCTCAAGGATCTCATGTGACAGTAGATGGAAGTTTTGGAAAGCTTCAAGTTGGTACACATAAAAGAAGAAATGATGTTGGGTTGTTGATTTTTGTCTCAACAAATGAGAGAAGTGAATTACTTGGAATTTGGTTCCAAGCTTCTAATGATTCTTGCAACATCTTTGGAGCTTTGAGGAAGCTCCAAGTGTTATGCAAAAAGAGATGGTTTATAGTTTGGAACTACAAATCAAGAAACAAATCATCGAGTTTTTGTGCTCAATGATGCAAGGTTTGGAACTATAAATCAAGAGACAAATCATTGAGTTTTTGTGCTCAATGATGCAAGGCCTTCTTCTTATGCTAGGTTAGGAAAATGTCATAGGCTAGGACTCATTCATTAATTTTTGTGTCTCAAAGAATGATAGAAGGAACCTTGAATTTGGATCTAAGCCCCAAAAGAAGATTTCATAAAATGGCATGCTAGAAATTTTTTAGAGAATTCTAAGTCATCATATGAAAAGGAGAGACAGGTGATTATTTATTAATTTTGTGTCAACAAATAAAGGATCAATCACTTAGAGTTTAATTCTAAGGCCTCACACCTCACGAAATGATACTATTTTGAGAGCTTTGTACTCATTTCATGTGATGAAAAGAGAATATCGTTTATTGATTTTGTATCAATAAATTACCAAATATGAACCTAGGATTTTGGATCCTAAGTTAACATGGTTCACGCGGTAACGTGCTTGAAACTTCGGGACGTTCCAAACTCTTATTCATAAGGAGAGGGAAACTCTACTAGAGAGCTCCCAATGCATTGAAAAAAAGGTTCCTAAATCACTTTTGGCATGATTAGGAAATTGGGCATGAGTGCTCATTTGTTACTTTCATGTCATAACAAATGAAGGTTCGACTTAAGATTTGGTCTTACAGTCTTAAATAGCCCATATAATAGAATGTTTGGAGTTTAGAGAGGCTCCAAAGCTATTATGGATGATGCTTATTGGCACTCATGCAACATAGAACTTAAAACTTCGAGGAAGTTCCAAGTGTCAAATTTGCAAGGGGACAAGCATGAGAAAGGAAATTTCTTCATCATTTCATGAACGTGAGATATTCAATGAAAGAAGGGATTGATTTCTAAAGCTTTGAAAGATTTTCTAAATCAATTTTGATATGACCTAGAGGACTTAAAGGATCTTACGGATGCCCTAAAGATGGATTTGATAAGCTCTATCAAGAAACCTAAGAATATTCATGTGAAGTTCGCCATTTTTTTGTTTGAGATGTTTGATCGTTTCAATTGCTAATTATTAACCAACTTGCAAACTTCATCGAATATGTTTATCAACTTGACCCCATACTCGTTTCATAAGTATTTAGAGATTTGATAAGCATATTAGTAAGTTTGCAAATCTTTAAATGCATAGCAATATAAAAATTTCTTCTATCCTTATTTTGCAAAACATTGTATACAAACTCAATCAATTACGCTCTCTTTATGGGATTCCAACATGAGCCTTGGGAGGTTAATGTGCAATCTCACAACATGAGAGGCTCACCAAATTGATTAAATTCTCCTCCAAACATTTGCAAATGTTTCACAAAAATTTACAAGCTTCATCATATAAAAGAACTTTGCATTTACAAATTATCTTGCAATCTAAGCTTTGGAATAAAGATGCACATAATCAAATAAATTGAAGCTTGCAAATTTTCTTCTACTTTGATGTGTTAGAAGCATGGGAAAACTTCTCTAGTCTTAGAGATTTCATAAGTTGGAGTGCTCATTTGTTATCACCTCTATGAGTTTCAAAAGACACCCAAAAATGAATTTCTAAAAGCTTTACCAATCCTAGGATTTGCAACATGAATCCTTGGAGATTCATGTGAAATCCTACAAGAAGTGTGCCATAGATTTAAAATCCATTTAAAAAAAATACATTTTGTGTATTCATGAAAGCCATGGAGAATGTACGAGTTGGCAAATATGAAACCCCAAATTTCGTGTAAGTTTTGTTGTGACACTTAATCAAGTGGGGAAACATGTCTCATGATGCAAAGAAATCTACGCCTCAACATTCGTTTTGGGAAGGGAGAATGTCGCATAGCTTAAGGTTATTGATAGGTGGAAGTTTGGAAGACGATATGAATGCTAAAGCATGCACTTGAGAGGCATTAGACACAAATCCAACACTTCTACACGCATTAACATCCTCTAAGGATTCTCACATGAGAACCAACAACGAAAAATAACCAAATTTTCGCTGTTTTGCAAAGAGGACAGCCGTCAAGGGATTTTGGTGAACCAGAAATCAAAGTTTCTAAGGACCTAAAGCTTTGGATCGTCTATCACATGCCATTGGCTATGGAGCCTTAAGGTTTTGCCTAAGTTTTAAGGATTTTACCACACCCGGTTTGTCCTAGCGCTCCAAATTGTAGTCCAAGCTGCTGTCCAAGCTCCAATCCAAGTTCTAGCTGCTATCCAAGATGATTCGAAGGCTCCAAACTGCTGTTTGGAAGGTTTAGGAGCCTCCTTTTGCTGTTTGGAAGGTTTGAATAGCCTCCGACTCGCCTCGAGGTCGTCAAAATTGAAAGAAGAGGAAGTAGAAGCCTCTTTCTGAGCAAAACGTCGCAGAATTCCAGACTTGGGAGGAGTCGGGTCTTCAAATCTGATGGAAGTTTGACGTGCAGGGCTTGAGACTCCAAACGGTCAATCGAGCAAGCAAGATGAACCCCTTAGGAGGTTCGGCCGAAGGCCTGGTCGGAGTCGGGAAGGGATTCCGCACACGAGGAAGGGAACTCGAGCGCGGGAGTCGCTCGTTCTGTCTCCGTTCGGGATGAACCGCACGCGGGGGATGAATCCCACTTCTCCCTCTCTCTATCGGGACGGAAGACACAGGAGAGGAGCCGCACAGTGAAGTCGCACGCGAGGTCCTTGCTTCCGTCTGGTGGAAATGAGCGCAAGGTATCGTCTTCACTTTTCTCTCGCTCTCTCGCTCTTTGTCTCTCTGGGTTGCGGGACGGACACAAGCAAAAGAAGAAGAAGAACCGCCCCCTTCTCCCTTCGATCTCCCCTTCTATACGGGACGGACAAGCACGCGGGATGCCCATCCTCACTCGAGTATTTTGCCGCAGGAGATAAGAGATCTTTGCGCGATCTCTCTGCTGTAGCCGCCGGCGGGAATTGAAGACTAAGGGAAAACGGCCGCAAAATTTGAAAATCAAACAGATCTTAGCCGTTGATTTCAATTTCAGATTTGGCTATTTGATTTAGCCCAAATTGGACTCGACTCAAATCGATTTGGGTCGATTTGGGTCCGAGCGGGTCCGATCAAGTTAATTTTACGAAATTAAACTTGAATCGACGTCGAATTGTGTCGGAATGCGTCGAATTGAACTCGACGATGCTCGATGGGATTTGATTGATTTTGAATTGGATTGATTTGATTTAATTTAATTAAATTGAGGCTCAATTTGGATTAATTTCACCTCGACGATGATCAATTGGGTCGATCGAGCGCGGTCAAACTTTGTCGGGCTCGATTGGGGTCGAGTCGGTGCGAAAATATTCGTCAATAGACGATTATGCACCATAATTATTATTGGCCATTCATCATCCATATTTGTCATTTCTTTAGCCAATTTGGCAACGCAATCAGCTTTATTGTTTTAACCTCAGGGAATTTGAGTTAATTTGATGATTGAAATTTGTTTCATAAGCTCAAAGACTCGTCGATGATAACAAACCAACTCAAACTTAGTGATTTTGTAAATTCCCAGTACTTGATTTACAACAAGTTAGGAATCACTGAAAATTTGAAGGTTTCGAATTCGAACATCAATTAAAATCTCCAATCCTGCGATTAAGGCTTCATATTCTAGCTCATTGTTGGTCCGAGGTTCAGTCAAGCTGAATTAGAATCTCATTATACCTCCCTCAAGTGCTACAAAAATGAGTCTGATTCCAGCTTGGGCTTTTTCCAGATTTGGAGGCCGAGAGTGCTTAATTGACGATGCTCCATCAAAGTACATTTCTTATACTTGTAGTCTCTCATTCTCTTCAACATTCATGATCTGCTCGTTAGGTAGATCATCATTTAGTGGTGAATTTGCAGGGATAGGATGTGCGGCGAGAAAATTTGCCAACACTTGCCCTTTTATTGCCTTTTGTGGGACATATGTGATATCAAATTTTAGGAGTATCACTGCCCACCTAGCTAAACGACCTGTCAACGTTGGTCTTGTCATCAAAAACTTCTGCGGATCGATCTTTGATATCAAGGTGATTTTGTGAGATATCATATAATGGCGGAGCTTCTGAACTATGAAAATCAGAGCCAAGCAATGCTTCTCAATTGGATAGTAGCATATTTTCACTCCAATTAATTTTCGGCTGATGTAGTAGAGCACATTTTCTTTTACTTCTTCATTATGCTGGGCCAATAATACTCCGAGTGACTCTTCTAGTGCTGCTACAATATAAGAGGCTTTCCCGGAATTGGTGTCGCAAGAATGGGAGGATTTAACAAGTATTTCTTGATACTGTCAAATGCTTCCTGGTATTTTTTTGTCCCATTTGAAGCGGACATTTTTCTTCATTAACTTTGAAAATGGATGGCACCTACCCGA